CCTGTTTACAAATGACATAAGACAAACATGTTTAAAATTTAGCTTCTACCAGGAAACCGTCTTGTACATTTAAATATTCTACAGTCCAGAATCATGCCAGAAGCCTAAATGCTGAGGAAAAATGTGATTTCTTGTGAATTTTTTAAGGGGCATTTAATCATAAATTGTTTGGGGTATATTAATACATTTGATTCTGTCTGTGTAATATAACCCAGACCCAATTGCAGCAAATCTAGGACTACACTGCGCAATTGGTCCTTGTTTCTAAATATCCTAAAAGTTGTATGTTGTATAATAATTATGAATGAAAGGATAATAAAAAATATTTTTTTTTATTAATTTTGTTATTAAACTTTTGAAATTAGTAATTACATTATATAATTGTTAGAATAGTATATTTTTTATGGTAATATCATTTGACTTCCAAAAGACACCACAGTGTCAGCACTATAGACAATAACTTCAATCAATGAAATTGAGGACAAAAGAGAAATACCACTCAAACAAGAACTGTACGTCTGTTTTTTACAGTGCATTTTCATTTAGAACAGATTAGAACTTTCTTGAGTGAAGTAACTCAGGATGGATGAAGTGTAATGAGATTTCATCCTACATTAGTACCGTAGGCGCTAGGGCGCCGCTACAATCTGCTGATTAATTTGATTAAGACATAAAAAACAAATACAAAATAAAATCTAAAATGAAAATATTTCGAATTATATTTATGTAATTTTTTTAGATGTGCAAGACAAATATTGAATCTTTAATGACAAGTAAAGCTATTTCATTCGTCATTCATTCGACGTATTTCCACCTTGGGGCGCAAACATTTTTGACCATAGACTCTTGTTAAAAGTTGTACATAATCAGTAACTCCTCTGCAATGCAAAAGATAGGACCATCCTAGGGTGCAGCTCTCCTGCGCCCAGAGCCGAAAGCCAAGGCGCTGACGTCACAGTCGTGTGTTACGAAGTGCAGCTGATTGAAAGGTTTATATAATTATTTAGCAACAAGGCTTTGCTAGTGAGGCTATCGCTTTACTCTGCTTTACCTGCCGTCTTTTTCAAAGTTAAGAATCTGACCCAGCATGGATAAAGACAGGCAAGACGTATTTAAAGAACTTTTCAGAAAGTTTTATAATGTTTTTTGTTGTTGGCATTTATATAAATATGTTTGTGTGTATATTAGTATACTAATATTTGATTGGTTTTTGGTATAAGTCTATTTTGAAGTTATAGCCCACCGGAGAAAACTCCACAAGTCGCCACTGTCCTACAGTATTTCTACCAAAATAAAAAAAGAGTACAGTGCAGTAATACTAGTCCCAAACGTATATCTTTTTCACTCACGTTGAAAAAGATACTTACTAAATGTAACAGAGCACCTTTAACTAGTAACAAACAACCTTTGACTATCATAAGTTTTATAAATAAATGTTTCCAAAAATATCTCCCCAAAAAACACCTTTACCACACTGTCCTAAAGGAGACTTTGATGAAAATTGCAAATCCAATCCTATTAAATTATGAGTCCTACTAGTATTTGGTGGTGTCAAAGGGGATAAGAGACTTACAGAGTACCGTGGAGCGAAGCCAATCTCAACTGGGAGACTATCACTCGCCATAAAGATAAACTGCTCATCCCAGTGCCGCTCCAGCACCTCAGCTTTCAACACGAGCCAAACACTATAGTTTACAGTGTGTATGAAAAGAGTACGCACATGCTGTGCTGTCATGTGACATCAGTTTGCCACAAAAAACAGTTTGTGACTTTCCCGTAACATTAGCTGGCGGGGTTTCATGCACCCTAAAGGCTAACACTCATCCAAATGCCAAGACACACATTAAAGAACACGACCACATGTGCGGGCAAACACACACATGCACTAAAAAGACCAGCAGACTTTGGGAGCCATGGCCTGACCTCTGGTACCGAGTCAAAGGGATGCTGTTAGCAGCACACAACAGCACCACTGATCTCCCATGCTCCTCTTGTAAATTTTGCTCTTTCTCCTCAGGGGTTTAGAAGAGTGCTGTGTTGTTTAGTGAAAAGGAGGAGTAGGAGGGAGGAGGCAGCAGAACAGAGGACTGAAACCACTGTCTGTGTGCAAACGCTAAATCACTTTGTCTGCATGAAGGCCTGGATTGTGCATCTGTGTGTGGACTTGTGTGTGCACACTAGTGTGTGACCCTCTACAGTATATATGCATAAAAAAAGAGCCGAGAACAAGAGAGCAACAGTCTTGGATGAAAACATAGACCAATGTTACAGGCCAAATATGATTAACTGCTCTAATGGACACACTTATTTTCATTATTCTGCATGGTTGGAACAAACCAGAGAGAACAGGCGCACTACTACAAGCAGCCCTGAGGCAAAGGCATCCAAATAAAAAGGACCTCTCTCTTTCTAATTCTCTACTGAACACAACTAAAACATATTCATCCCCATTTAGAATATTTAAAGGTTAACATCATTAGGATTTTCCATTTGTACTGATGTCACAATAATTTAGCATGTGCAGTGCATTTGTGATGCTTGTCTGATAACACAAAGTAGGAGTAAGTCATCTGACAGGATAAACAGTAACATCATGTTAGCCTCTGCACGGTGATAGAAAAATAACTTGCATAGAAACAACCTACCAACATCTTAAAATAATAATTTATACTTTATCTGTTCACATTTAGTCATCATGCAAATGCAAACCTCCATTGCTCTGATACAACTAATAAAATACTGAGAAAAAATATTAGCTTTCATAGTCCAACTGCAAGTAATTATATCTCGTTCAAAAAACAGTATTTCTGTCAAGAAATTGCAGATTTCTTCTGAAAATATTAAAGAGTAAACACAATCATAAAGAAGCACAACCTGCAAGACAGGAGGAGGATTAAAACAGGGTTAGACTATAGAAATGTTTGCTGAATGTTTACAATTTTGACAGTTTTGAAAACATCAAGTATTAAAGAGGCACAACTAAAGACATGCCAAGATCAGGCAAGTTCTGAACATGAACGGACAGCAATAATCCAAGAAGCAACCAAGAGGCCCATAAGACTAGCTCTGGTGGGAGAATCTAGCCTCGTGAGACCATCCTGATCTCACGAGCTTTCAATGTTTCGCTCGCAGATCAGTCTGGAGACTCCGTCAAATACATTTTGGAGCCGTTCACCAAACGAACGTCCAATCAGCGTTGGCTTTGAGGCGGGTTGAGGTGTGACGCATCGAAAAGCGCGACAGTTCAGTCTAAAGAACATGGCGGCTTCAGCCGATGAAACTAGCGTTAGCATGGCTATCGAGCAAGTTTTATCGGAATTACAGAGTATTTCTTCACTGAAAGAAGAGCAAAACACTGCTCTGGAGGCTTTTCTCAGAGATATTGATATCTCTGACAGAGATATCAATCTGAATTTTTCAGAATACATTCTTAACATTGTGTAGAATGGTTTTATACATTAAGTTGAGATTCACCAAAAAATGACTTTAGCTGGGTTTTCATAGGCAGGGTCACGCTCTCGGAAATCTAAATAACATACAATCCACTTTTGTTACCTATGGTGTTACTCACATAAATCATCAGACATAAAACAGCTGGAAAGGATAACTTACAACCACAGAAAGTCATAGAGAATCTTTCTCAAAATCTGGACGCCCTACTTGGAGCATGTGGTTATACATTTATAAACTTACTGGCCCTGTCACATGAATTCTCAATGTCATAGTTGGGACACTTTTTTTTTTTTCATTTCCCTTCAGAGGGAGCAGGGGATCGTGTGGTGCAGGGGGTCAGTTCTTGTGTTTTTTTTTGCAAAATTGAAAAGCTAAAACTAAAGTACTGAAAGAAAACCCCCAAAACAAAAACAAAAGTTATTGTTGAAAGAGCTAAAAGAAGTCCTGTAGGTAATTTTACACAAACCTGCCAAATACACACTAGACTCTCAGGGCATATTAGGCTTTTAAATGCACTTTTTTGTCCCAAACATTGTATATTGCCTTTAGATTCAGACTGCTATATGTTATGTACAATGGTTAATAAAAAATAACAACAACAACAAAAAAAACTGAATGTTGGAACAGTAACTATACAGTCATGTGTTTACATCACTTTTTTTTCAATCAAAATGTTTTTATCGCTGCTGCTTACCTTTATCAAGGCTGCACAAACTTGTTGCTTTCCTTCATCCACCTGCGACACAGCCAATCAGCTTTGAACCAAACCTCCATGAAAGCCAATCGGCATTAAAAGTTCATCGTAAAAGGCCTCCGATCGTCACTGTTTGCTCCTGTGCGCAGGCGGCAGATGCGCCGTGTGACTTCATTCAGATGACACCCTTTCAACCCACCTCCAGCCCCTCCTCCACCATTGTAGCTAAAGTGTCATTCCTCACAGACTCTTACCGCATTCCCTGTCTCATCTCAACCGGTCCGGCAGAAGACCGCCATGTTGGGCCTGGTTCTGCCAGAGGTTTCTTCCCAACGGAGAGTTTTTCCTCTCCACTGTCGCTTCATGCTTGCTCATCATGGACAGGTTCTCTCAACCTGTGTTATCCAAACTGGACTTCCAGGTCCCTGAGTGAAGATCTAGTATCAGCTCACGCAGCTCACCACTGGATCTCCCCATAAAGCTCAGCAGACCGTCTCGCTAACCAGCAGTCTACAGACTGACCAACTTCATCTATCTCCACTCCACTACCAGTTTCAGGCCTGGGGGGAAACAGCCCTGTTCTTTGCTCCTGTTCTTGCATATCTATCAAAATTAAGTGCTATGTTTCCTGCCGAGGTCTGAGCGCCAAAGACAAAGTAATATTATCTCCTAATTGTCTTTTCTCTTCGTGTGAGTTTTTCGGATTGAACTGTACTTAACAAAATTTCTTTTTGTTTACACTTGTGTGTACAAAATGACAAAATAAAATAAGTCTAAGTCTGTCTGTCTTCTGTCTAAGATGTACAGTGTCTCTACACTGAAATGAAGCAGTTGTAGCCGCCCTAATCTGAACTCTGCGTTGTGTATAACAGTCAAAGGAATCAGCAGACGAGGACCATAGGTGTATTGCAGCAGTAGGGCAGGTTTATTCTGTTTAAAACAAAAGAAAATTCAGGACAGCAGTTCTTGGGTTCGGGCTTCCCCACACATACACCTCTCCCCAGCGCGGCTCGGCGCGAACTCAGACAGGAATGTGTTCAAAACAACTAAACTCCTCTCAGAGGTTCAAAAATAATAAAATAATACATTCATTCATTCTAAACAATTAAATAAAATGCAAACGGATATAATCTGCCCAATATTTGCAATTCTTTCAGGCCAAATTGAATTAATAATAAAAAGAACTTTCCATAAAAATATACTGAATACATTAATTAAACAACTCACATACCTGTTTAAAACAAAAGAAAATTCAGGACAGCAGTTCTTGGGTTCGGGCTTCCCCACACATACACCTTAACAAATGAGAAGAACGAAAAGAACCACATTGGCACAGTAGACCCAATAAATGTCACCAGTGTAGGAATTAAAAACCCACAACAGCGCTGCACTAAACATATAACATTTAACCAAAGGTATATAACAACGCGAGTTTATAAAACATACATTTTTGATATTTTTAAGAAACAAATAGAAGACCACACTGTATGCTTACCTCTCCCCAGCGCGGCTCGGCGCGAACTGAGGAAAGCAGCGGGAACACACAGGATATGACGCGAAAACAGGAAACAAGAAAATAAAAGCTTCTCCGCCAAAATAAAATACAATTTAAAAACAAATATAAAATAAATTATCAAAACGGATTTGGAGTGAAATATAAACATTTTTTGCACACTTGCTACATCCACCCCTCCTATATTTCACCAAAATCCAAGTCAGTCTAAATTTTACGATCCCAATACATGGAAAACTGACAAACTTGATGAACATTTAGCACAGGGTTGCTATACCCTAGTATAACACTCGGCTTGAGAGCCACCTACAAAACAGGTTTCGAAGGGACATACGGTTGATCAGGCCTCTGCCCTTCTCAGATCAATATGATGCCATTTACACCATACAATTCTGTGCCAACTTTACACCCATAAACACAAGATACAAATTAGAGGAAAACAATATCCCATTAAAATTACATTGCTGAACTGTCCATGAACAGAACTCTAAACAGATTAACTCAAAACCAAGTAAGAATGGTCTGGGATTTTTGGCTCACAGAATTTGCCAAATCCCTAAAATCAAAAGGTCTTTGAACCATAGATTCAATGAGTCTGTTCACCCTTTTGCTGACCCGACCCACCCGAGTCCTAACAACTTGGTCAGTATTCTCTAGAGGATGACCCATGTCCATGTTTGCATCTGAATTTACAAGAACCTCTGTATCCATAGAATGCGCTTGACTCACTGTATGTAACTCTTCTTCTGCCGAATGGCCATCAGTATGTTCACCTGAGAGTACCATTACACTGTGAGGGGTCGCAAGACTCTGGTTGGATAAGCCTGGTTCTGACACTTCTTGATCCAGAGAGACATTGCTGTCACAGTTCATCGTTTTACTCATCTCCCATGCATTATCTCCATCACCCAAACTTCCCTCTTCCAAAGCGTCAAAGGAGTCCGACAGGGCTTGTGCCTCCTCTACCCCGACAACAGAGATCTCATCCTGGCCTGTCCTCACAGGTAGAAAACTGATGTCCAGTATCAGGTTTCGGTGCACAACTTTTTTGTTACCCTCTTTGTCCTCCAACTTGTATGTGTGAGTTTGGAGATTTCTGTCGACAATTGTGTAAACTGTGGCATTCCACTTGTCAGATAACTTTTTCTTCCCTCTTTCACCCTTGTTTGCTAGCAAAACTCTGTCGCCAATGTTCAGGTGAGTACCTTTACTGTACTTTCCTGTTGTATCCTTCTGCCTGTTTGTCTTGTTCTTCCACAGCATGTGTTTGAGCTATCCTAGCTGCCTCATACAGATGTGACATGAGAGTTTTGGCATAGGTCTTATAATCAGTAGTCACTGGATCACACAACACCTGTTTGAAGATCACATCCACTGGGAGCCTCGGAACCCGACCAAACATGAGTTGGAATGGAGCAAATCCTGTAGTCTCATGAACTGTAGCATTATATGCAAAAGTCAATGTTTGTATCTGTTCAGGCCATTTGTTCTTCTCTCTGAGTGGCAATGATCTGAGCATGCTGCCAAGTGTGCGATTGAACCTCTCGGTGCCTCCGTTTCCCATGGGATGATATGCAGTGGTGTGAGACTTTGATACTCCCGCCAGTCGAAGCAGTTCAGCAATTAGCTCACTTTCAAAGTTTGCTCCCTGATCCGAATGGATCCGTTCAGGAAACCCATACACACAAAACACGCGGTCCCACAACTTTTTTGCAACCTGCTTTGCTGTTTGATTGGTGCAAGGGAATGCGTGGGCTAGTTTTGTGAAATGGTCGGTCAGGACAAGCACATCCACTGAGTTTTGCTTTTTATCCTCCGCGCTCCAGAAGTCTAAACACACCAACTCCATCGGGGCGAACGTTCTTATGCTTTTAAGAGGGGCTCGAGCACAAGGTTCTGGTGTTTTGGCGAGAATGCACCTCTGACAACACTTGACGTACTCCTTCACATCAGTATCCATCTTTGACCAAAAGAATCTTTGTCTTGCCAGGTGAAGTGTCCGTGCCTGCCCCTGATGTCCAGCCATGTCATGAATGCCTTGCAAAGCTCTGTCCTTGAGGCTATCAGGAAGAACAAACTGGTGCCTTTTCTGTTTGCTGAGAGGGTCTCGAGTGACTCTATAAAGGATCCCATTCTTAATTTTAAGTCTCTCCCATTGTTTAAGGATCACCATTGCTCCTAAACCGAGTCTTGCTCTTTCACGTCTTGATGGTCGCCTCTCTCGGATTATGAATGGCAAGATTTTGGAGACATCAGGGTCAAGCTTTTGGGCATGTTGTAGTTCATCCAAAGTGAACACAGGGAGCGGATCTTGTCCTGGTATGCCCACATCTTGAACAGACTGAATTAGTGCTATCGCACGAGTCTCAGTAACCAAATCCCACTCGTCATGCATCTCCAGAAGAGCCTTGACTGCATCACTCTGTGAAGGTTGCAAACTACAATGAGGTTCTGGACCGACACAAGATGGTCTCTCCACTTTTTGGCTCTGGACCTTTAGGTGGAACGCATCCTGGACCCCATCTTGGCTGATGCTATCAGCTTCGATGAGAAGACGAGAGTAGCCCTCAGTGATGATCCTATGACTGACAGTTGTTGCAAATGGATCCTTACTGAGTGCGTCAGCCACTGTGTTCTTGGACCCAGGTATGTGTTTCAGATCAAAAGAGAAGGGTGCCAATTTCGCAACCCAACGCTGCTCACAAGCATCAAGTTTTGGCTTTGTCATGATGTAGGTGAGCGGGTTGTTATCAGTCCACACCGTGAATGTCTGACCTCTTAACCAGTGACTGAACTTCTCACATATACTCCATTTCAGAGCCAAAAATTCGAGCCTGTGAGCTGGATATTTCTTTTGAGAGTTACTCAGCGTCTTGCTGGCAAATGCGATGGGGCGAGCCTTCTCCTCTCCAGATGGTACTTGAGACAGGACAGCTCCAAGTCCATCCAGTGAAGCATCAATAGACAAAATCAGAGACTGTGAAAAATCTGGATGTGCAAGGACAACACAATTCAACAACTTTTCTTTAAGACTCAGAAAGGCTGTTTCACACTCCTTTGTCCAGTCAGATGGTTTCAGTTTTCTGTAAGAACCCGCATTCGTTGTCATTTTGGTTTTGCCCTTCCTCTTCTGTCCAGCAGTTAGAGCAAACAGTGGCTTGGCCACAGACGAGCAGCTCGGAATGAAATGCTGGTAATAAAACACCATACCGAGGAAGGACTTTATCCTCTTGGCTGAAGGTGTGCGTCCATCATCCTCCATCAGGTCAGTCGTTGCCATCTTTGTAATGATCTCAACTTTTCCAGGATCGACAGACACTCCATAGCCATCTATGATGTGCCCCAGAAATTTCACTGATGATCTCATAAAGTGACATTTCTTGGGACTCAACTTGAGATTGTGCAAGCGAAGGCGTTGGAACACAACCTCTAACCTCTCCAGAGACTCTTTTTCACTCGAAGCAAAAACAAGGAGATCGTCCAGGTAGCACAACAAGCTACTAAAGTTCAGATCTCCAAATATGCTGAGCATCATCCTCATGAAAGAGGCAGGGCTGTTACACAGGCCTTGAGGCATTCTATTATATTCGTATAACCCCATTGGAGTTGTGAATGCTGTGAATTTCTTGTCCTCCTCCGCCATAGGAATGTTGTAGAATCCTGATGTCAAATCCATAGTGCTGAAATAAGTGTTGCCTCCAAGAGCAGCTAAACAGTCGGACTGGTGTGGAAGTGGGTGTGCGTCCTTGAGTGTCCTTGCATTTAACCACCTGAAGTCTGTGCATATCCTCAGACTGCCATCCTTCTTCCAGACTAGCACAAGCGGAGAGGCATATTCGCTCACAGATTTCTTTATTATCTCTTGTTCCTCCATGTCAGATAAGACTTGACGCAGCTTGTGATAATGGGCTGGTGGGATTCGGCGGTATGGAAGACGGAACGGTCTATCATCAACAAGCCGGATGCGATGCACAAAGCCTTCTGCCTTGCCACAATCTAGAGCATGCTTAGAAAAAACATCGTTATATTTCTCAAGCAGCTCGACCAACCTTGTTTTTCCTGCATCATCAGTGTGGCATAAGTCAATGTCAAGATCACCAAGCCCAACCTGTTGTAATCGCAGTTTCAGATCTGTGGGCCTGTCTTCGACATGTCCCTTTTCTGGAGCAGTGGTTTCAACCTGGCTGATACCTTGAAGGACCTCAAAATCTTCAACCGCCAGACAAGGAGACACATCTGCCAATTTGCTGTTTCTTTTCAGTGTGATGGGCTTGTCTGACAGGTTAGCGACTTTTAAAGGGACCCACCTATCTCCCCATAAAGGAGTGATAATGCGAGCAACCATAATGTTACGTGGCATCGACTTAGATGAAGTTGGTTCAGTGATTACAGTACTCCCTGGAGACATGGGGATATTATGTGGCAGCTTACCCCACAGCAGGTGTTCAGTCCTTGCCAGCAGAGTAACAGACTGTTGTAGTTTGACTGTGCCAATCTTCTCTGGAAGTTCTTCACCTCTCCATCGAGAAGTACTTGCCATCATGTCTAGAAACTGCTCACATTCTGGGAGAAGACTGGGACTAGACACTAGACGCCAATAATCGTTGTTAATTTTCAGCTGATGCATGAGAAATCTTATGACATTCGTGCCAATGATTAAATCGTCCCTTTGACCTGGCACTACTAACACAGGGACAACACATGTCTCACCATAAAGTTTCATTTCCACTTCATACATGCAGCGGGGTTTGCTTAGTGTCCCACCACAACCAATGAGAACAATTTCTTGAGAAAGGGGAATTGGTTCTGAAAGTGAGTTCTGACTCAGCATCATTTGTTCCACCTTCTCACTCAGTGTGCAGGCCATGGAACCTGAGTCAAGCATCCCCTGTAGCTGAAACTTGTTATTTAAAGTCACAGGTGTATAAAACAGTTCATCAAATGGCTCAACTCGTTGTGTGTTTTGAGCTATCACTCTGGCACCGACTGGTGCTGCTGCACATGCCTTTTCATATTGCTGTTCAATGTCATTGTTGAGGGTCTTTTCTTGTGAGCCCACACCACCCCTCATCCCATGCAGGCCAGCTAGTTTAAATGCTGAGGGTCTTGTGACTGAAGACCATGCTCGCTTCTGACAGATGAGCGGTTGGGACAGTCTCGCTTGATATGATTTGGTTCAAAGCATGCTAAACACAAGCGTTTCTGTTTGCAGTGTGAGACGGTGGAATGATCTCGAGACTGACAAACCCTGCATGCTTTGTGATGTACTTGGCTAGGTGAGTCTTGCCTGCCTGCAATCTGACTGTTCTGTGAGAGTGTACGTTCAAAAAGACTGATTAAAGTCCTCATGCAGCTGTCATTACACTGTAACGGGGCTGCTGCACCAGTCTCTTGGTGTGATGGAATGTCTCTTAAATGGTAGGATGGTGGTTCAGGAACAGGAGCTTGAGTATGAACTGTAGCTAATTTAGGATATCTCGACCTGGAAAATGCCTGCTCTCTGGTTTCAATTTGGTAACGATCAATGTGCTCCTGAATTTCACTCGCTGTCCATTTGTCTGGTGCTTTGAACTTCAAAATAGCAGCAAGAGCTGGGTCTGGACAATGTTTCACAAACATCATAGTTGCTTCTTGGCAAGGGTTATCTACATGCCGCCCTAATCTCTTCAAGCCCTCTTCTGCTGCATCAACTGCCTTATTCAAGCGTACCCAGTAATCAAGAGGCGATTCTCTTGCAAATGGCACAGTGTTGTAAAAGTCGGCCATCGGCATACATGAATAGGGCACATCACTAAAATGTTGTCTGAGGATGCTGTAGACAATATCCGGCTTTTCCTGAGGCTTTAGTGAAGGACTGCTTCGCAGTGTTATCCTCACAATATCCTTAGCCTTTCCCATCAACTTAGAGAGGATCTCAGAATACTGTTCATTAGTGGGTGTGCCTCGTTTTCTGAAGTAGATTTTCATTAACTCTTCCCACTCACCAACAGTGTTTTTGTCAGATCCATCTCCCCTAAATGTGGGGGGTTCTTTGACGTCTGACTGCAGTACTAGCTTTGCCCCAGTCAAGTTGAGGTAAGTTGGTTCACTCTGTGATTGACCAACCCCGTCCTGAGATTGCAGACCCATATCATTCCCTTCTCTATATTCACCCTTAAGACGATCCATTATAGATTGTCCAACTTGCTGTGCAATGCTTGTAA